TTTACATCATTTGGTTATACCAAATTTATTAGAGTTGTGCAAATGTTATTGAGAATCTTTTTCTGCTGTGGGTTTTTGTTTTTGTCTTTTCAGATATTAGAGATTTCGTTGAAGGAGACTAACGATGCTGATCTGAATTGCCTGCTATTTCCGTATTCTGGGACCTTTGGAATTTCCGTATTCTGGGACCTTAGGAATGATCTCTGGCCGAATACCATGCATGACAAGGGTCAATTTGGCGAATTATCCATTCGAGGAGTTCGGGGAAAGACAGTAAACTATACTTCACAGTGGTCGTGTTTGCGAAATCGTCACCTTCAATTTAACCATTGAACTGTTGATTTTGTTGACTTTTTGTGGTTGATGTTGATATATGTGATGGTTGATGTTGATATATGTGATGTTGACTTTGAAAATTATATCTTATACAATTTAAAGCTAAAGCAAAATAATATAATTATAAAAGATAATTTGTGTTGAAATGTGTCCGTAGCACGAATGAGGTCAACCCAGCGTGCTACTTTTCCCGTCAGGGAGGGCACAACTTATGTTGATGTTGGGGGTATGCCATTTTGCCGGCTGCCCCACTGTTGTGTAGACCACTGTGGACAATACCTGCCAACTCGAATAAAACATTAAACTAAAATACGTAGCATTTGTTTATTATATACATAGGTCTTTGATAACTATGAAATATTTAACAATTGTTCCTGGGCAGACTTGCACTGTATGAATTTTATAGTATTTTACAAATATTTTCCTCTTTCTGAATATTAATACAAAATCTGAATAGTTTGTGACGTCATAAAAACAAAACAATGCCAATAACCTTCTTGGAAACTATAAAATGTTTTGTTAATTTAGATTTTTCATAAAATTTAGCGCATTTCAAGAAATTTTCAAAATTTGATTTTTTGGGAAGGGGGGGGGGGGGGCGCCAAAATATGCAATACACCACATATAGTTTTCCAAAAAATGGTAATATAAAGTTTGACATGGTCCTAGAACAAGCCTCGGATAATATGTGAAACATTTCTCTTTAAGGGGGACCTATATGTTGTTTAACGTCAAAGCAGCGTTATTTGACGTCACAATAGCGGGGTCTTTTATACCTGTTGACTTTTGCAACTGTAATTTAGGCCTAATATTACTACACTCAATCCAATACACAATTTACAAGAAGATAAAATTTAAAATCTATTACAGTTTTGTTTGATATAAAGAGTTTGTAAATATTAGAATTCTCTGTCGTTGGTTGATAATTTGAATCAATTTCAGTTATGAAATAAATCGAAATACATCAATGATATGATGATATGAGCTAAAAAAAATAAGATGAAATTCAGTCAAAGAAGGCGGCTTAAATCAGGAAAATATGTTTAAGTTTATGTTTAGCATTAATTGTATTTTCGCGATATAATGAAAAATTTTAAAAATATATACTTGTACCTATATTTGCTTATTGATTAGAAGATTAAATTGTAAAGACAATCCTAAGTTCTAATAGGTGTTGGCTGTTGACAGGGAAATGGAGAGGGGGGTTGGAATCAAGAAGAAAAGATTAAATCAGTGTGAGTTGTTACTTATCAATACAAAATACTTGTTTTACATAAAATAGTTTCATATTCAGATATTCGGCAATATTATTTTTTTTACCTTTGTCTTCGTGCGGAAAGGTCAAATTTACGACAAACGAGTACAGAAATTTTAGAAAACTCCATATAGCTAGTTTAATTTCTCATAAAGGTATCCTTTTTTCTTTATCAAAATAAAAATATAACTCAATTCCTCAAAAATATATGAATTAAAACATTTTGACACAAAGACTTTTTAAGATATTACATGTACATGTACCTATTATTCATGTCGAAATTGTTAAGAATACCACAAGAAAAATGGGGTGATACTTGCACTGTGCTCCATTATAAATGTTCATGCAAGATAAATTTCAATGAATTTGTTTTCATTTTAAAGATACAAGTCGAATAGTTTAAAAAACAAATTGATTTTGAATGTGATTTTTCATTTTTGGCTCTTTTTATTCCATTTTTTTGTAACTAAAAAAAATGTCTGAAAATAATCTATTCTTAGCATTTATGTGTGTATAAAATAGCATATAAAGGTACTGTTTAAATATCTAAAAGTTAAAAGCAAGTGGCAAGGAAAGGAATGTCAAAGTTTTGAAAATTTTAACACAAAGACTTTTCAGACATAGGTCCCCCTTAAAAGGTTATTAGAAATTAAATATTGCCTAAATTTGGGTTGTTTTTCTAATTGCAAGAATAAAAAATATCTCGAAAGCTCAGTTTTCAGCTAAAATATTGTATATTTCAATGTCTATTTTAAGGTGCTTTGCTGTCATGATAAAAAATGGTAAAATTCTTTTAAATTTTAAGAATACCTCTACACATTTCCTTTTAAGTTCCTTGATTTTCGAATAATGTTTGTCCGCTAAAGCCCACTGTTCTTCCTCACTTCTTTTGCTTAACGCTAGTCCAGAATCGATTCCTATCAGCATTTGCTTCAGAAACTCGTGCAGAAACCTTAGATGAATAATAATAATAATAATAATAATAATAACAATAATTTATTTCCTTTCTTTCCCTTTTTTAATCTGATTCAATAATAATTAAAATCGTTACCGTAAATGTTCTGAAAGTCTGATATTTTCGTTTCTCAAAATAACTTTCTTTAAAGACTGTCGAAAATTTTCAAATTCTCTAGTTGAAGCATTCGCCTTTTCTGATGACACCTATGAGAACATAAATATTGATTTATTCATCTATACATTTGAAACTTCCAAATTTATGGAATAACCGCGTAGTGTAAGGCAGTTGAATAATTTTCATAAAATCAAAATAAAATAAAATAAAATGAAAAAGACAAGAAGATTTAAAATATTCATTGATAATGCATAATATTTCATATTTCATTGAAAATATTGAGTTAAGTGGATTTAGTACTCAGCTATGTTAAGGAAGGTCAGAGTTCACATTCCTTGTTTACACACCGTATTGGAAGTTTAATTGTGACGTCATTGAAATTTAACAAGCCACAAAAATTCATTAACGACATGATCATGCGTAAATAACAACTTGAATTTATTTATTTTATCAATTATAAATAAAATCTTGCAAAATTACATTACTTGATTGCAATACAGTCGAGTAATAGAAGAAAGTCTTTAGTCAAATATGACGTCATCAGCCTTGACATGACGCAGCACAGGTAACCCAGAGGACTAGATTCACTTGTTTAATACTGTAGATCACTTAATATTCGCGACACCTTATTTTCGCAAGATAGTCATTGAATCTTTATTAGCGAGACAAAATTTTTAAGAATCGTAGTCATTGCTCTACATAATCTTAAGAAATTTTATCATACGCGAGAATGAAATTTTCGCGAGCATACCGTCTCGCGTAATTACGCGAAAATAAAGTTCTCGAGAATAAAAAGTGATTTACAGTAATAACAGGAATGCTTAAATAAATATGATATCATCGATATTTTTAAAACTAATCATTACAACTAAAAGAAAATACTTTATTAAATACAATTTGTATACAATATGAATTTATCTAGTAGCAATAGAGCTGCACAGAGTCAAGGAATATACAGAATTTCGCTTAAACGATACGCGTATTTATGATTTACATTAAAATGCGAGGCCATAGACTATTTTTTTGAGCTGAAATTTAAAATATTTATTGCTTATATAGTGTATATTTTGAAAAGTGCTGGGAGCTGATCCTGGTCTGCATAACATTATTTTTATTTATAACAGAATTTAAGCGAAGTGAAAATTTTCAGCTACTATAAGCATTTTCGGCAAAATTTTCAGTACTTCGCAAACAGCACAGACAAGTTCCAAGCACTTTTGGTGTAGAGGAAATAAACATCTTTGAATGTGTATCAATTTTTTTCTTCAAAAAACAGTCGAATGCCTTTGCACTATTCTCATTTCCCAAATTCGGCTTAAGGTCTTCAATCCCTAATAGGAAGAAATTCAATGAAATGGAAAACATAAAAGATATGTAGGCATTCAATACTCAGTTTATTTAGACATAGTTCCCATCTATTACTATACGTGTGTTTAGTGGGATGTGTCCTAATTCATGACCTTGAATTTTGGTAAGAGTTATCTCCCCTTTTTTAATTAATAAAAAAAAATCAATTAAAAAAAAAATTAGCTGGTAAAAAAATTGTTTTCAATTATCATTCTATTTTTAATATTTCAATGCATCTCTCCACCACAGGATTTATTGATATTCAAATTATTTGAATTTTTATTTTGAAAAAACGCTTTTCCCCATAGACTTCAATGCAATCTTTGTTAATTAACTACTCCTTAATTAATGAACTTTTTGAAAATTTCTCGTGGGCAATCCTTTTCCACTATAAAATGCTATAATATAATATCAGAGTATTGTGTACTTGACAGACATTTAAGGGTAGAGAATTTGGTCCCATTAAGGATTGAAATCCTTAACAATTCTATTTTTATACAAGTCACGTGACAAACAGCTGATACATGCAAAAATAACTGGTAATAATTACGGCCCGGTCCTATCCATTATTGAAAACTATATTACATTTTCTACAAGTATTCAATTGCTTTGTTACATTTTTTTCAAAGAAGTACATGTAATACATGTTAAAACGGTGGAAGGGTAACATACCAGTCCTTAATATAGCTGAGTAAAACATATTGTTCACAGATGAAAAACTCTGAACATTTTTACTATCAAATTCTACTTATCGGTTAATTCTTGATGAAATGAGATGTAATAATTGCTTAAATCTGTCAGATCTAATAATTGCAAAAATATTTTTAGCATTTCAAAATTAAGCCTCTTTGTCCTGTCTGTGCATTATTTATGTCCTTGGAATGAACCCTAAAAAACAATGCTATATACTAAAATAAATACATCATCATATCCGAATAGTATAACCAAATATATAATAAAAATGATTCATAACTTTTAAGCAATGCATACATCTTTAAGATTCAATCTGAATATGTTTTCCTCTTTCACATCAGGGAGGATTTCTTTTATATCCTTCAGGAGATCTTGCCAGGTATTTTCTCTTTCAGCATCGTCGTTGCAGTCATCGCTACCACTTGATAATGTGTCCCACTTATTTGTTATGAATAGTACTTCCCTTGGATCAAAACATGGCATTTCGTTTTCAATTTGTAGATCACGTATTGAATTCAGAATTTCTGGAAGCTTTGAACAAATTGATTATTTAAGAAAACAAATTTACTTTTTAGTTACTGCGCATTTGCAAAATTTTTGTCTATAAAAATAACACATTTAATAAAAAAAAATAGATTTGTAAAATATACCCGGTCCTTCTGCATGCCACCGGCACTCCCTACATTAACAACAAAAATAAAAGAAACTGCATAAGGGAGGTACTCCATAACTTTCTTGCTCACCTCTCCTGAACCACCTATTCCTGGAGTATCAACTATAATTGTATTGCCCTGTCAGAATAAATAAATAAATAAATAAATAAATAAATAAATAAATATATATATATATATATATATATATATATATATATATATATATATATATATATATATATATATATATATATATATATATATATATATATATATATATATATATATATATATATATATATATAAAGTTTATAAACTCAGTTGTGCCACTGATATCCAGAGACGGGAAAAAGAAAAACATTTTATTAGTATTTTTCAGCCAAAACTTAATAGTGTTTTATAAATTACTTGTGATTTCCCCGTACTTTTGTCATATTGTATCTATGACGTCATAATAGATATTGAACGTTCCGCTTAACATGACGTCATAATCACTGTTACTATTGTAAGCTTCTGAAGATTGAAAATGAAAGCGCTAAAGCTTAACACTTTACAACTTACAGAATTGCTATGCAACGTATATTGAATCCTCGCGTCATAGACATATTACTTTACCATTTCCCCGCAAGCAGTTTATAGCGGGGTACAAATTTCTCTAAAGTAAAGCGTAAATAATATTCTGAAATAATATTTTACTTAGAAAAAAACTTTTCTTTTTTTATGAGATTCAAGCAAGCATAAAATAGTTGGAATTTGGCAAATAATTGAAGATAAAATGGACTTTTAAAGTGCGTGAAAAATGCCTGATTGCGGGGAAACGGTAAATGCGTGATTTTGCGTTAGAAATAGGAAATGGTATATGCGTTAAAATGCGTGACTGCGGGGAAGGGTGTTAACTGGGGATTTTGTGTTTTCTTTTTACCTTTCTTTAAATATTGTTATCCGATTAAAATTTAGAATTTTTGCTATCTGCGTCTTTGAAAACATTATGTGACAATTGCTGGAGCTTACATCAAACGGACTTCTGACTGAAAGTTGTAAGGACCATTGGATCATGAAAATGAACTCGTTTGGACGATGGCAGTACAAACCGTGAAAGGCAAGGCTAGGGGCCTACTGGTAGATTCATTGTTGATCCATGGTAAGTTACTAGTATGTACACCTACATTACTTAAGGTAGGCATACGTAGTATAATATAAGAAAGCATTATTTAAGATGTTGAAGGAATCTTCTAACAACAACGTAACTGCTAGGCTTTACTTTCTCCGAAAACGATTTAAATGGGGTGGGGTTAACATCTGTCTCCAAGTAGGCCTAGCCAATACAGGTTCGTTCCTTGATAAAACAAGACACTTCTTTGTCATATACGAGTCTTTTTCTTGCTTTTAACGATATTATCGCTCTTTATCATTCATTTTATTAGGGCAATAATAGGGATCACAAATAAAAGTTTCAAATAAAATTTTGAAGCGAGGGATCGTGTCAAAACCGGAAGTGCTATTGATAAAGCATCTACCCGTTGATAAAGCACAAGTTTATCCAACGACCTGTATCACCCACACGTATGAGATAAATATAGTCATTATTATCTTTCTAAATGGTTAAGATACAAATACTACGATATAGTCACCCATGCGTGACTTTAAGGTGAATATAAAATTTATTTGCCGTACATCGGTCTAAAAATAGATCGGGAGAAATTCCAAATTGATACAAATAGTTTGTGAAGCTTTTAGTCATTGACCTCCTTACAGGTGAACATAACATTAGGGAATACATGTATATTATTAGGGTGGTTATTGAGGGGTGGGGGGTCATAGGGAATCCCTCCAAAACACGTCTGTTCTGAAAGTAAATTTTTACTTTTTATTTAGACATTATATCCATTGAAAGGTTGATCCCCATACTAATGAACATTTTTCCTGAAATCTGACCCCAATCTCAAAACAAGATTTAAATTTAAATTAATTGACTATAAGTGGGTGTTAGTCAAATATTTTTTTAGTTGATTTTTTCTTCATAATGCCCTCCTCCCCCCCCCCCCCCCCCCCTCGAATCAATACATTAAAAAAAACCCTGACATGAATTTTTTTCATATCAACTTAAGTTGATGTTAAACATTCCAAATTAATACGACTGGTGATGCTGATTTAAACTTGGTTCTCTAATTATATGTACGTTTCGTTAGGAATTCTGCAAATGTAATCAGGCATTTAATCATTAAATCATATAATAAAACAATTATTTCATTTTCATTCGATAAATTAATTTAGCAGCCGGTGAAAGTACAACATTCACCTTGCCATTCGGTTTTGGAGAATTTTTATATTCATCATCGATTTGTCCTCTAAAAGACTTTGAGCAAAACTTGTAGAATAATTATTTCCTTTAACCTTTACTAAATATCACCTTCAAAAAAGGTATTGGAAATCCTATGTCCACATATCGGAAGTTTTTGCTGTCCTTCGAAGACGTCATATCTGTTAAATTGTTCAATATATCTCTCAGTGACTTTTCTCCTTTTTCTGTTTCTATATTGCACTGCAATGGAATGGTTTGTATTTCCCCATTCACCCTTTCAGTAATAATCTTTATTTCTTCAGAATTTCTTATTTTACAAATTGTTGATGTGGACTCCTTATTCCTGGCGTTAAATATCCTCTTCTGTAGCAGTTTGTTTATTAATGTTGATTTCCCAGCACTTGTTTCACCTAAATAGAGATTTTGTAAAAACCATATTCCTGCGTCTTTTAAGTATCTAATGTCATATGACACATAACATTAACCGATTAATTTTTATCTCCCCTTGAATGACGGTGTGGCCCTTCATTTGAACAAACTTGAATCCCCTTCACCCAAGGATGCTTTGTGGCAAGTTTGGTTGAAATTGGCCCAGCGGTTCTTGAGAAGAAGTCGAAAATGTGAAATAGTTTACAGGCAGACAGACGGACGGACAGACGAACTACAGACAAAATGGTATCAGAAAAGCTCACTTGAGTTTTCGGCTTAGGTGAGCTAATAAAAGAAACAATAGCAGTGTCAATGTTTTGCCATGGGAAACTCGAAATATAATTTCTATCAAAAAGTAAAATAGGAGGTGCACGTTGAAACAAAGATTCTGCTAAAGTCTTATTAAATTTCATTCAATGGTATAGGAAGAGTTGTTGAGAGGGATGGGTACCCCAAAATGTAACAAATAGACAAACAAAGGAACGTAAGATGGTCGGAAACATGACTATATACCCTCCAACTTTTCAGGCGGGGTATAGCAAGGAGCACAAAGTAGCAGAGGATCCATCTCCCCTCACAACACCTGATTCCACCTCTAATGTTCTAGTTTTCTGCTCAAAATTTGCAATGTCTAATGAAAATCACAGCTTCTTGAATACTATTAGTTATCGTTCATAAATAAATATTTTATTTGCAATTTTGCAACAAAGATATTAAATAAATCAAGAGGCCCATGGGCAACATCGCTCACCTGAGTAACTTGGGTGATGCAGTTCTTATCAGATTCTCCCTCTTGCTATACCATTCATGCCCCACTTCCCCGTTCCATTTTGATGATTTTAAGAATTTAATATCTACACTACCCAAGGATGTTTCCATATAACTTTCAGCTTTCCTGGCCGAGTGGTTCTTGAGAGGAAGAATTTTAAAGATTTGTTCCATATATTTCTATGTAAAACTTGGATTCCCTATTGTGGCCCCGTCAAACCGCTGGGGGTCATGGTTTTAACAATTTAATATTTACACTACCCAAGGATGCTTCCATATAAGTTTCAGCTTTCTTGGCCCAGTAGTTCTTGAGAAGAAGATTTTTAAAGATTTGGTTTATATGTTTCTATGTAAAATTTGGATTCCCTATTGTACCCTTGCCCTACCCCCGGGGGTCATGATATTAAGTTTAATATCTACACCACCCAAGCATGCTTTCACATAAGTTTCAGCTTTCCTGGCCCAGTAGTTCTTGAGAGGAAGATTTTTAAAGATTGGTTCTATATATTTCTATGTAAAACTTGGATATCCTATTGTGGCCCCGCCCTACCCCCGGGGGTCATGATATTAACAATTTCATATCTACACTACCCCGGGATGCTTCCGTATAGGTTTCAGCTTTTGAGACCCAGTAGTTCTTGAGAAAAAGATTTTTAAAGATTTGTTCTATATATTTCTATGTAAACTTGGATTTCCTATTGTGGCCCCGCCCTACCCCCGGGGGTCGTGATTTGGACGGTTTAAAATCTACACTACCCCAGGATGCCTCCGCTAAGTTTCAGCTTTCCTGGCCAAGTGGTTCTTGAGAAAAGATTTTTAAAGATTTGTTCTATATATTTCTATTTAAAACTTGGATTTCCTATTGTGGCCCCGACCCTTAGGCCTAGATCCACACATTGGACAATTTTTGAAAAGGCATCCTTGCTTTTCAAAAATATTTGATTAATACCAAGGAGCAGATTTCAAACAATTTATTCATTTTAAGTCTATTAGGGCTGGGTATTGGCCCGAGATTTCGTATTGCGATATTTGCGATATCGTATTTTTAACTGTATTGCGATATGTATTGCAATATTTTCAATGTAATAAAAATGGCATTTTCTTACTATATTTACCTTAATTTACATGCAGAATTTACATAACTATGATAAGTTACCAACACGGAAAAAAAATCTTGTTGATTTCATTTAAGTTATGCTCTTAAATATTGCCACAAAACAACTTCTGTCTTACTGTTTGGCTTTTATATTTAATCATTTTAATGACAAAATTCCTTAATCTAAGCATATTGCCAATATATCGATATTTCAAAATCGTATTGCGATACGATATTTTTTGTCATTGTATTGCAATATATTGAAATATCGATATTATTGCCCAGCCCTAAAGTCTATAAGTACAGCCCCCCTCCTCTATAGTACCCCTGACCCTGGGGCCTTGAAATTCACAATTCTAGAAGAATGGGTCTTGGTTCATAACTATATAGGTAGTTCAACTGCTTAATACCCAGGAGCAGAGAAGAAAATTTTCAGAGAATTCATGAATTTTCACTATATAATCAATAGAGCCCCGCCCTAACACCAGAACCCCTCACCCTGAGGTCCTAAAATTCACAATCTTGGCAGAGGCACTCATGCAAGTAATTAGTTTATTTAATACCTAGGAGCAGAGAAGAAGATTTTCAAAGAATTCAAGTACTTGCACTATATAATCAATAGAGCCCCCCCCCCCCCCCCGGTTACACAAAAACCCCTAATCCTGGGGCTTTAAAGTTCACAATTTAAGTAGAGGCATTCCTGCTCATTATTATAACTATGCTCTCAGTTAGTTTATTTAATAGATAGGAGCAGAGAAGAAGACTTTCAAAGACTTCATGTATTTTCACTATTTAATCAATAGAGCCCCCCCCCCCCCCCCCCCCGCCAACACAAGAACCCCTGACCCGAGGGCCATGAATTTCATAATTTTGGTAACAGTACTCATGCTCATTATAACTATGCACTTATTTAATCTATTTAATACCCAGGAGCAGAGAAGAAGATTTTCAAAGAATTCATGTATTTTCACTAAATAATCAATTGAGCCCCCCCCCCCCCCACCTTAACACCAGAACCCCTGACCCTGGGGCCCTAAAATTCACAATGTGGTAGAAGCACTCTTGCTCATCATAACTATGCACTTAGTTAGTTTATTTAATGCCCATGAGCAGAGAAGAAGATTTCAGAAGAATTCATGTATTTTCCCTATACAATCAATAGAGCCCCACCTTAATACCAGAACCCCTGACCCTGGGGCCATAAAATTCACAATTTTGGTAGAGGCACTCTTGCTCATCATAACTATGTACGTAGTTTATTTATTTGATAACCAGGAGCAAAGAAGAAGACTTTCAAAGAAATAATGCATTACTTTTCACTATTTACTTATTTAGCCCCGCCCTAGCACTAGAACCCCTGATCCCAGGGCCATGAATTTCACAATTTTGTTAGAAAACTTAATGCTGATTACAATCATGCAAACAGTTTGACTGCTTGATGTCCAGGAGCAAAGAAGAAGATTTTTAAAGATTGCATTAATTTTAGTGGTTTCGGCTCCATCCCTCAGGCCGCAGGGGGGCAGGGATCATGAAATTCACAATTTTTGTTCCCCTTCACCCATAGATGCTTTGTGCCAAATTTGGTTGAAATTGGTTCAGTAGTTCAGAGAAGAAGCTGAAAATGTTCAAATGTTAACGCACAACGCACGACGCACGACGACGGACGAAAACAGATAGCAATAGGTCACCTGAGTTTACTCAGGTGACCTAAAAATGTGGAGAAAATGAAAGCTCTTTTTTTTATATTGTCCGTGACGTCAAAAATTTTGCTGCTCCTTGACTTAATGATGTGTCCAGATAAATCACCGAAAATTGATATCAATTTACAACATTTTGTTATGAAATATTATGACAATATAGGTAAAGATTATTTTATGTTAATATGTGATAAATTTTGCCCGAATATGTCGTCAAATATTTTTTCTGTGCAACAAGTCCGCGTATAGTTTGAACGGCCCTCGTATTTCATTGAAATTTACCTATATTTACAAGGAGAAAATTGTAGCTAATTGTCCTCAAATATTATAATACCCTTTGAAACTTTGATAAATTTAGCTAGCTTTCCCATTATGAATAGATCGACGAAATAATTTTTCTGACGTAAATACTCAAATCAATTGCTAATCGAAGGTACAAGCTATACTTTTCTAGCTGACATATTATCTAAATGAGCTGCATTACGAATGAGTACCACAAAAATACTAAGGAAATTCTATGCTTTGAGATTATTCTGATAAACAATGTTTATGCATTTGAATCACAGATTTGACACGAATTAACATTTAACATTGACTGGTCGTTAAAAACATGACATGTACATGATATAGTAGAGATTATGTGTAAATGACCTAAACACGTGTCTTTTATCAAATATAAACAAGAAGTAAACCAGCATGTATGGAACGCCGTCACTGCCTTATAGCAGAACACAACAACTGCATTGCGTCATCCTTCCATTACATTATGTCAACACTTTGTGACATTTACTCACACTACTATTGTATTGTGTCAACCTTTCATTACATTATGTCAACTCTTTATGATATAAACACACAATACTATTGCATTATGTCAACCTTTCATTACATTATGTCAACTCTTTATGACATTAACCCACAATACTATTGCATTATGTCAACCTTTCATTATTTTATGTCAACTCTTTATGACATTAGTCCACACTACTATTGCATTGTGTCAATCTTTCATTACATTAGGTCAACTCTGTATGACATTTACACACATAACTTTGCGTTATGTCAACTTTCCATTACATTATGTCAAGTCGTAATTACATTAACTGGCAATTCAATTATATTGCACCAATCTTCCATTGCATTACATATGTATATCAGGTCTTTATCACATTAAGTCAAAACAATTTTACATAGTGTAAAGATGTTTTTTTATAAAATTTCAACTCATTATTACATTATGTGCACTCTCTACTATTTGGTCTAAGTAGTTCATTACATGATGTGAATTTATCTTTAATTCAATATCAAGTGATATAACACGATGTCAGAA